CAAAGAGGGCTGTTCCTAGAGAGGAGTCACTAAAGCCTGGTTCTCATCCAACAGTGAAGAAAAATTTCTGTTGGTGGTATTAAGATACTGAAGAATGCAATTTGAGAAACTACTTTGGAAAAGTATGGCGAGATTGAAACCATAGAACTTATGGAAGACAGGCAGAGTGGGGAAAAGAGGATTTGCTTTTATAACTTTTGATGATCACAACACAGTTGATAAAGTTGTTGTTCATAAATACCACACTACAAATGGGCATAACTGTGAAGTGAAAAAGGCCCTTTCTAAACAAGAGGTGCAGTCTGCTGGATCACAAAGAGGCTGTGGAGGTGGATCTGGCAACTTTGTGGGTTGTGGAGGAAACTCTGGAGATGGTGGAGGGAATTTTGGTCATGGTGGAAACTTGGGTGGAAGAGGAGGCTACGGTGGTGGAGGAGGTAGCAGCAGAGGTAGCTATGGAGGAGGGGATGGTGGATATAATGCATCTGGAGGTGATGGTGGAAATTATGGTGGTGGTCCTGGTTACAGTAGTAGAGGAGGTAGGGTGGCGGTGGACCAGGATATGGAAACCAAGGTGGTGGATAAGGTCGGGGGGAGGATATGATGGTTACAACAAAGGAGGAAATTTTGGCGGTGGTAACTGTGGTGGTGGTGGGAACTGTAACGGATTTTGGAAATTATAGTGGACAACAGCAGTCAAATCCTATGGACACATAATAGGGGACAGTTTTGGTGGAAGAAGCTCTGGCAGTCTCTATGGTGGTGGTTATGGATCTCATGGTGGAGGTGGTGGATATGGTATCAGAAGGTTTTAAAAAACAACAGAAAGGGGCTGGGGAGATGGCTCAGTGGAATAAGTGCTTCCCTGGAAAGTGCAAGGGCCTGAGTTCAATCCCCGGTTCTGCAAAAAAAAGAAAAAGAAAAGTAAAAACCCCAGAGTAAAATCAAAAAAAAAAAAAAAAAAAAAAAAAAAAAACCAGAAAAGGGCTACAGTTCTTAACAGGGGAGAGACAGGGGAGAGACAGCGAGTTGTTAGGAAAGCTACAGGGTACTTTGAGACGGTTCCCAAATGCATTAGAGGAACTGTGAAAATCTGCCACAGAAGGAACGATGATCCACAGTACTGATTAATGCAATGTAGTGTCAGTTAGATGTACATTCCTGAGGTCTTTTATCTGTTGTAGCTTTGTCTTTTTCTTTCTTTTCATTACATCAGGTATAGTGCCCTATACATTGTGGTAGTGGTACTAGGAATAAAAAATTAAGGCATTTTTAACTTAAAAAAAAATAAACAACTATAAAGGTCAAAGACCATATATGATCATACAGCTGTGACCCAGCAGATCCAGGATTCAAATCTGGGAACTAAGATATCTCTTTTGAATAATGTATACAACATATCTATGCTTTAAATCCTTTATGACAAATAGCAAGGACCATATAAACATTTGATCTGAACTATCTTATTAAAATTTCCTTCCCTAGTTCAGTTTCTCTTGGCCCTTCAGAGGGAAGGTACCTCTGAACCAGTTCTCCAAAATGCCACCAGTACAATGTTAGAACTACATTATTGTTCTGTTAGAACATACATAAGAACAAAACCTTAACAAAAGCAAACATAAGAATAGCATTCATAAAGAAACAAATGTACATTTTCTTCTGATGAAAATAAGTCAAACCATTAATCACATGTAAGTTTCTGTGTGTATTAATATAAGCTGACCACCTATTTTCAAACACACATGTATCCAGCGGAAAAAAGGAAAGGGGAGGAAAAGAAAAGAAAGGAGCTCCCAATTTTGGCAGAATACTTTAGGAAAGGGGAAAAAAAACCCAATATTTGCTGCTACATGTCTAATAGCATTAGATTTTTTTTTAATCAACAAGGAAAAATAAAATGTAACCCAAAGAATAAGAGACAAATGTCTTTTACAGTTACATGAAAAAGATATTCCTGCTATCTTTTAAGAACACTACTTCACTGAAGTCAGCTCTGCACCCCCAGATGTGAAATACACACTGCATTCAAGTTTGGGAAGCTGAACAGCCTCAATTTGCCTCTAAATACAGAAGTCAACCAATAAACATTTGTGATCACAACCTCTGGGCTCCTTTTCTTCCCTATGAATCACAGAACTTTTTGAAGACTTTTTAAAGCTAGTCCAAAACTTCTCATGTTTTAGATGAAGAATTGAAGGCCAGAGCCTGAAATATAAAACAGAAAATAAATCACATTCACAGGAAATTTTCTCAGCTAACACCACAGGTTCTGAGTGGAAGGACTTTGTTTTTACTGTGGTTTCCCGGTTGGGGGACAGCAGAGGACAAACAGCTTTGATCTTTAAATAAACCCCCTTGTTCAATATTCACCCCACAACCTTTATAGATATGAAGCATGAAGGTCTGTCATAACAATTCCTTCAACTCCACAAGCTCAAAGCACACATTAGAAACCCAAGTTTGACTCTGATCAAGGTAAGACAACAAAAGTTGCCTGGAGCTGGCTGAAACTGATCAGCTTGTTCCTCAAGCAAAGTAACTCCTAAAAGGCTGCCAGCCTTCAGATCACGGGGTCACATAGGGAGACAGGACAAGTTTCTACCACTGAGGGATAACACTGAAACCTGCATACAAAGGCAGAGAAAAGGAACAGAAATCTTACATAAAATTTTCAAAAGCAGTAGCTCTTTCTAGAGCTAATTACATTATCACAGTTGATCTTTTCTGTCTTTTTTTTTTTTTTTTAAAGACACATTTATTCAGCGTCATGATCAGA